ATTATTTAAAATTTTTTTTTTTTTACTATATTATAGTTTTCTATTATATGCACAAATATATGTATATCTTATATATGTTGAAGAATTCACGTGTTTACAATATATATGAATTTTAAATTTTGTATTACTTGAATTTGACCCTCATATTTTTTTTTTTTTATACCCTGCACTTCGTGAAGGGTATATTAACTTTGGTATGGAGTTTGTAACTACTTGAAGGAGTCATCTGCGGTATGGACATATATATATATTCTTGCTCAGCGTAAAATTCTGAGTCGATTTAGACATGTCCGTCTGTCCGTCCGTCCGTCCGTCCGTCCGTCCGTCCGTCCGTCCGTCCGTCCGTCCGTCCGTCCGTCCGTCCGTCCGATCGCACGATAACTCAAAAACGAATAATGCAATCGACACCAAACTTTCACAAGTTTTTTCTTTTGTGCCAAGGACGAGCCCTATTGTTATTGGACTAATTCGGACAACGGGTTCGGGTAGCTGCCATACAACTCAAAGAGTTTATTTTAAATATTTCAAAAACTAATAAAGCTATAAATATAAAATTTTGTATACATGTGTCCAATTATATTCTACACATGCTCTAAAAATTATAATGGGATAGCTGCACCGGTTTGGGTGGCTGCCATACAATTCCAACAGCAAATTTTTTATATTCGGCAAAATAATAAAGTCAGATTCATGAAACTTGGCAGTCGTGTGTCCAATTATAGGTCAAATGTATTTCTGAAGTTTTAGAGGAATTGCTTGGCAGGTTCGGGTACCTGCCATACAACTCCAGAAGCTAATTTTAAATATTTGGAAAAATAATAAAGTCAGATTGATGAAACTTGGCAATCATGTGTCCAATTATAGGTTCGACATATTTCTAAAGTTTTGGTGCGATTGCTTGACAGGTTCGAGTAGCTCCCATGCAAGTCTAAAAGCTTATTCTTAATATTTGGAAAAATAATAAAGTCAGATTCATGAAACTTGGCAGTCATGTGTCCAATTATAGGTCAAATATATTTCTGAAGTTTTGGTGGAATTGCTCGACAGGTTCGAGTAGCTCCCATACAAGTCTAAAAGCTTATTTTAAATATTTGGAAAAATAATAAAGCCAAATTCATGAGACTTGGCAGTCGTGTGTCCAATTATAGGTCCGACATATTTCTAAAGTTTTGGGGCGATTGCTTGACAGGTTCGAGTAGCTCCCATGCAAGTCTAAAAGCTTATTTTTAATATTTGGAAAAATAATAAAGTCAGATTCATGAAACTTGGCAGTTGTGTGTCCAATTATAGATCAGATATATTTGTGAAGTTTTGATGGAATTGCCTGACAGGTTCAGGTACTTGCCATAAAACTCCAAAAGCTTATTTTACATATTTGGAAAAATAATAAAGTCAGATTCATGAAACTTGGCAGTTGTGTGCCCGATAATAAATCAGATATATTTGTGAAGTTTTAGTGAAATTGCTTGACAGGTTCGGGTACTTGCCATACAACTCTGCCAAAAAGCTTATTTTAAATATTTGGAAAAATAATAAAGTCAGATTCATGAAACTTGGCAGTTGTATGTTGAGTTATAGGTCACATATATTTCTGAAGTTTTGGTGGAATTGCTTAACAGGTTCGAGTAGATCCCATACAAGTCTAAAAGCTTATTCTTAATATTTGGAAAAATAATAAAGTTAGATTCATGAAACTTGGCAGTTGTGTGTCCGATTATAGATCAGATATATTTGTGAAGTTTTGGTGGAATTGATTGGCAGGTTCAGGTACTTACCATACAACTCCAAAAGCTAATTTTAAATATTTGGAAAAATTATAAAGTCAGATTCATGAAACTTGGCAGTCGGATGTCCAATTATAGGTCAGACATGTCCGTGAAGTTTCTATAGAATGATTTTAGAGGTTCAAGTAATTGCTACACAATAACGAAAGGTGCAGGGTATAATTCAATCGGTTTATACCGACTGAAACGTTTTTACTTGTTTATAATTAAATAAGGTAAAACATCTTTCATTTAATAATATACAATTTTTTTTCATCATTATATGACGAACGAAAATAATCTTTTATTTTTTAAATGATATTATTTATTTATATATTTTTATTTATATATGTATGTATATGTAAATGTACATCCGGATTTATCGCAATTCGATGATCATGATTATATGAAGATAAAGTTGTTTAATTTTAATATTATTATTATTATTATATGTTTTTACTACATTTTTGCTATTTCGAGATCTTAAACAGCTGGTTATAATGTAGTATAAAAAATTCATATATATATATATATATATATATATATTATGAGCTATAAATATTGCTTGTTAGTAAAAATAGTATATTTTTTATAGTTATTATTGAGAAGCTAATAATTTTATTGATCTGCTTAAATCTGGTTTTGTTGGTTACTTTTACGTTTATTTATTTATTTTTATTTGATTATTATTTTTGTTATAGTTTTTCTATTATTAAATATTTTTTTTTGTATAAAAAGCAGTGTATTTGTGCAGTAATGATGAAATGAAGTTTATATGCTTTAATTTGATAATAAGAATGATGATGATAATGATTATGATGATGATATGATTAATATTTTATTTAATACAATATTATATTTGGCCATAAATTAGTAAAATGAGTAAAATTTGAAATTTTATTAAAATTTAAAAAAAATTATTATAAAAATAACAAGGAAAATTTTTTAAAGAAAATTATTAATTATTTATAATTATTTTGTTAATTATAAATTTATAAATGAAATTATAAATTTTTAATTAACAAAAACAATTTGAAACAGCTAGTTCCGAAAAGATTATATGAAAAATTCAATATTTTATATTTAAAATAAATCGAATATTGCGCTTTTATGAACTCACTAATTTCTTATTGATTAAATTTTTAATTTAATATACTCAGTATAATAAATCCGTTGAAATTATTAGAATTCCAAAATTATGTTTGAAATAAAAATTTATATACAATTCATTTATTCTGTCTTCTATTTACTAAACTTATCAATAAAATATCATCTACACCATAATAATACAATGAACAAAGATTTAAATAATTTATTAACCCTCTTGAAATTTACTACCTGATGCTATTTCAAATCATCATAAAATATTTCATACCATCACGTTTTTAATTCTAATAATTATAATAAAAAAAAATTAAAATATTATAATTTTTTTTAAATAATTCAACCCGTCACCTCATACAAAATTCTTTTAAAACACAAGCATATATGAAAATAATTAAATCAACCGTAAAATATACAATGACGTTTTACCAGACGCGGATTCCCTTCCCATATAAATATATATATATACAAATGATTTTTTTTTTAAATTATAATAAAAATAATAAAATCAACAAAAAATATATTGACATTGAGTAAACTAATAAATAATATAATTGAGTAAATTTTTGTAAATTAAATAAATTAATAAAATACTTGTATGTATGTATATAGCGAGCAATTCATCTTATAAATTATTAATTAAATTCATAAATCGATTGAAAAATAATAAAAAAAATAACAATAAAAATAATTACAACTCAATTTATAATTTTATTTTGATATTTTTTATGTTTTTTTTTTTTATAAGTTGGCGCTTGAACTTAAAATTGAAGTTTCTCACTTAAGTCTTTTATTTATGCACATATGAAAATAATTATTTTATAAGTATAATATGATATTTGTAATTCATTAAAAGTATGTTAATTTGAATGTTAATTGTAAACAAAAATATGAACATAATATAGAAATAATAATAGCAAGTTTGCCTATGTTTAACAAGTACACACATACATACAATAAAAATGCAATTTTTAAATAAGTTGATAATTTTTTCAATTAAAATTTAAATTATAAAATATTTTCTATGAGTTGCTATTTTATTAATGTAATTCGCGATATTTGTTGTTGCTTACATAATTAAAACTTTTTCATATGAAGAGGAAATGAAATTTCTATAATATTATAGAAATTATTTTAGAATTTCAGAAAATACAAAATTAAATGCCACATAACTAGAAATAAAAATTTTTATATCTGTTTATTTTGAAATTTTTTATTAATGAATTTGTTTACGATTTCTTTTGAATATTTTCCACATTTAAGTAAAAACTTATTAGAAAGAACGTAAAAATTTACCATATAGTGGAAAAACAGTTAATTAATCCTAACATTATATTAATTATTAAATTTACCATATAATGGGAAAACAGTTGGTAAATAACATGATATAACAAAAATTCCGATTAATATACTTTAAAATTCTATGAATTTAAATAAATTTGGAATTTTTTAAATGATTTAATTATACTCAAACCAAGTAAAATTTGGAATATTTTTTGAATAAGCATTATTTTATAATTAATTCTCACTTTATAATCTAAGTTCGTAATTTGAAAACGCATACGATATCATGATTTCTTAACAGCATTATATTCCTTAACTTAATTATATATATTAAATTTATATCATAATTTTTATTATTAAATTGTCTTAAGAGCAGTTTAACGATATATGTAATTTCTTTGAAGCGATCTAATTAATACATGACAAAAAAGGATCAAAAAAATTGTCTTTTGTTGTGTCTGCATTATGTTGTTGTACCAAATTTTTAATTAAATTTTTTTCAATTATTATATTTATACAAGAAATATTTGCATATTTTAATGAAAAAAATTGTATGAATTAAATATTATTATATTTTACAATAATTTTGTGAAAACTGCATTTAAACCCTCATCAATTTCGTAATATACTATAATTCAACTATAAAATTTAGTAATTACAACTCATAAATTGAGTAGCATAGTAAAATAGTGCAATTTAATTGAATTATTATCAATTAAATCGTCTTCTTCACTTTATATAAAAGCAAATCTATTAATAATATAATACGATATTTTAAAATACGATATTGTTGAAATGATAATTTCATTAATAATTCTAAATAAAAAAATTTTATTGAATTTTTATTACCTGTAGCTAAAACAAATAATGTTGGTGTTGTTATTAATCTTTGTAATCCAAGTGATAATTTTAATTTGGTCATTTTATTATTTTCTATATATATGGTTTGTTGTATAGAATTTAAAAATAATTTTTATTTTTTTCTATAGGAAAAATACTTTTATTAATTATTGTACTTTTTTTTAAGTATTATTATTAAAAAATATGTAAATTTTAATTACTAACAATAATTTATTAATTAATTAAATAACTAAATTGATTAACTAATTATCATTTTTTAACATTTTGTTTTTTTTTTGTTTTTTGTATATCTTTTACTCATTCAAATTCAGACATTTTTATGTTATTTAAGTAATGTATATATATATATATATATTTTTTACATTCACTGCACTTTATTACCACAATTATTTTTTTTCTTTTATTTTTTCTGGCTTATTTATAATTATCATTTGGGTTATAATTTTTGTTTGTGCTATTCAAAAAAAAAAAAAAAGAAAAATCTTGTTCAATTTCAATTTTAATAAATTATTTAAATATATGGATTTGACCTTTTTCTTAAATTGGCCTTTAAGTTGTATATATATATATATTAATTCACCCAAATAAAATGAACTCAAAATGATTTATATTTATATTTATTTTTTGTTTTGATTTTTATTATATTATATTATTTGTATATTTCGTTTATTTTTTTTTGTATAATAGTTTCATTATATCCGCTTGTAAATTAGTTTTAAAATCATCATTTTTATGAGCGATTTTTGTTTACCTATATATACATTTTATTTATTTATTTATTTATTATTTTTTTGCTTATTTTTTATTTTGTTTTATTTTGTATTTGAATATCATTTTAAATTTAAAGTTCACTTCTTATAATTCACTTGTTTAACAAAAAAAAAAAATTATTCATTCAACAAAATATCATGGCAAATATATTTATATCACTTTTTTATATATTCATATATATGTACAAATATATATGTATAAACGTATAACTATGTTTAAAATAATTAAGGTATATATGAGTATATACTTTAAATTTCCTCAGTAAAATTCTATTGTATTTTATGCAAAAATTTATTTTTTCTCTTCTCAGTTACTTATGATTTTTTTTTATTATTTTTATTTTTAAAGTCAAAACATGAAATTTATTAATTTTTAGCATGAAAATTAACTAATTTTTTTTTTGTTTTTTTTTTTGTTTAGTCGGTAAATAACAAAAATGTCCAACTATTAAAAAATTCTTTTAAAGCAATTCAAAATTATTTGCGAGAACGCGAAATTATGTATTTAAACAAAAACTAAAAAAAAAATTACGATAATAGCAAAGAAAATTTATCCAAAAGCTTAAAAATTTAAATCAAAAAAAAACCAAAGAAAAAAAAAAAATTATTTAAATAAAATTTTTTCGGCTACCAAAATTCAACCAACCAATAAAATATTCCAAAATTTGCGAACTTTAAAAATTTTTTTTTATTATTATTTTCTTTTGCTTTTTTTGTTTATTTTTCCTTGTTATTAATATTATAAAAAAAAAATTTAAAATTTAATTCTCACTTTTACCTAAATTTTGTGATTTTGATTGCTCGAGAAATGCGATTAGAATGAAAGCTTTATAATATTAAATCGCCAATTTATATATCAAAAAAAAAAAAAACAAAAAAACAAAAAATAATCAAAACAATATCAAAAAGAAAACCGAAACAGAATAGAGTTAGGAATTAGAAAATTGAGATTCAAAAATTAAGAGTTCAACAGTACAAGTATAAATATTTTCTCTCCTTCTCTTTAGAAAGATGAAAATTATATTCTCACCACAATACTATATGATTTTGTTTGTTTGTGTTTTTTTTTTTTGTTTTTTTGAAGTATAGCATTTTAATTAACAGTTCAGCAAGATTTGTAAATAAAATTTTTTCTCCCAATTAAAATTTATATATATATACATATATATAAATATATTTTGAGAATAAAAATTAACATTGTTGATTCTACTTCTTTATACCTTCTGCGTGATTCTTGTTTAAATTGCATATTATACTTTTTGGATATTGCGATTTACGAGTTATAGATACGAATTTTGTCGAGAAAATTAAATTGAAATTCGTGTTTAACTTTCGGATTTATTATAAGTTTATAAAGATGGAAATGATATTGTATTATATAGTGTTTTACTACATTTTGTATTAACATGTATAATTTAAACTATATTAAATTAAATTATTGTAAATTTTAAATTTAATCATAAAATAAATTTTTAATTGCTTTTAGTTTTAAATTTAAGAAATCATGTTATATGTTAAGAAAGGTTTAATATTGTAAATTTACACTAAGTTATAATTTCAATTTGTTTCATTGTTATTTGCGCATCAAATTTACATTCTATCTGTTAATGAACTCTATAACATAAATTGCTTCACATGTAATAAAATTAAATATAATTTAAAATTTAATAAAAATTTAAAATATTCCATTTCTATGTGATAAGTTTATGTCATAGAAAAATTGAACCTAGCTATAAATCAAAAGATATAATTTAAATTTTTTTTTTTTAATTTCATTATTTATACATAGTATAGTATTTTCAAATTTACTACTCGCTACTATACTACTCTCTTGTTCATAGAGTCACATCTCTATATAGATATCATGAAAATATTCATAAACATAAATATTATATTAAATTTCTATATGCATAACATTATAAGTCAATTAATATTATAAATAATATATGTACATACATTAAGTACAATATTGTAAAGTAAATACATAAAATATTTTCATATTGTATTACAATTTACACATTTATAGTTCAATATCATTGAACGTAATCAAAAAGAGGGCTAATTAAAATAATTCCAATATTAGTTTTATTTATGTATATATTAAAGTATTTGTTTTGCATTGTATAATTACGATATTGATAGTAAAAGTAGGTATATACGAATAAATTTGCACTTGTATGTACAATATAATATATAGGTAATGTATTTTAGTATAAGTAAAATATTGTAAAATAGTTATATACGTATATGTATATTGAAATGAAAATTATTTTTATAAGAGTATGAAAATAAAATCAATATATAAAATAAGAATTAAATTATAATAAAAAATATAAACAGTTATTCGGACAAGGAAAACTACAAATCACTTTTATATATTTATGTATGATATCGTGTTAATATTAAGATATAAATGTATGTATATATAAAATTTAATTGTTATATGCATTATGTTGTTTGCATATTTATTAAAAAGAAAAGTAAATTTTTTTTTTTAAATCTTGATCTTGACCATTATGCGGTTATGTACATTTTATTGTATATACATATATATATATATATATATATATATATATATATATAAATATATATATATATACATATATATATTGTACATAAGCACTGTTAGAATAGGTAGGTATGCTAAGTTAAAATTTACTACGAATATATTGAGTACAAAATATTTTTAAAATTGAGAATACTTTTTAACGAAATAATTGATTTTATTGTTATTTAGCTTTTTAATCACAAATAATTTTGAGAGCAATTTAGCTCAATTAAATTTTTCTTTTTTGTTTTTGTTTTATTTTCCGTTTTTGTAATAAAATATTCATGAAAGAGAAAACAACAATAAAATAATTGATTTATCGATGTTTATTATCATGATTGTTGACTGTTGTGACAATTGTTATGAATAAACGATTGAATTGAATTTTATTATTTTTTAAATTATTTTTTATTAAAAAATCATTTTCCATAGCTGTTTTGTTTGGTTTTTCTTTATTATTATTTTCTCTCTTTTCTCTAAACTTAATTGAAATATTTATATGGGTTATTGAATTGTGTTAAGAGAAAAGCTTCCGGTATATTTTTAAATTATTCTGTTTTTTTTTTTATTTTAATTAGTTTTTATTGGTGCACGGCGGCTGCAGCTCAATTTTCAATTAATTTTTTTTTAATTTAAAAAGTAAACATAAATATTTACGTTTTTTTTTTTTGTTATTTTTTTGTATATAAATAAAATGTTGGCAATTGTTTTGATTTTATATGATCAATATTGATTCATTATATACATACATATGCACGTACTTATGTAATGGAAATAAAATTAATTTTAGATTGTAAAATATTTATAAATAAAATAATAAAAAATTATGCTAGTTATATAATATTGTATTTTATTTCCTTGATTATTCGTTTATTAGTCATACAGTGGAAAATTTTATATTTTATTTAATTTTTGGTTTTGTTAAAATTTTTGTATTTATGTATGATTAAATTTAAATTTGGTAAATGAATCTGGGTTAGATAGTAAAAATAAGTCTAGTAAATAAGTCTGAGTAGATTAAAAGTAAAAACAAGTGAGATTTTATTAGAATATGATGGGACGACCAAATAAAATTTTGTTTTAGTAAAATGTGATTATCGTAATTATTACAAACAATAATGTATGTAATAATTGCTATAATTTTGTGTAAAAATAAGAATGACAAATATGATTCAAATTTTAGTAATTATTTAAAAAAAAATTTCAATTCTAATATTTCAAATATTTTTTTTAGGGATCATATTATTAAAGTGAAAGCTTATAAAATAGTAAAAATCATAAATCGTTTCTTATGTTATCTTTTATAACATAAATATATTTTAAAATATTACAACCTAATTAAAACTTACAATATCTTATAATGTTATAAAATTCTATATGATTTTAACAGAATTAAGTTATTACTTTAGTGGTATCCTACTCTAAAACAACATATATTGTATAATAATAAGAGAAAAAATTATAGCAACCCCATTTTTCATAATAGTTCTTAAACACAAAGTGTTTTCCTAAAGTAACGCTGGAAAAATTCCCTACTATACCAATTTCCTGCTATATAACACATATAACACAATTTAATATATAATATGAAAATATAAATTTGATGGCATTCCCAATTTTGAAATTTCAATAAAAATTCAATCGTAATTTTGAATTTTTTGTTTTTTTAGAACGCATTTTTTTAATATTGAAAAACCATTTTTGTGTTCTTTACAATGAAAACCAAATACACACAATAACTTAATTCAATAATGATTAATATTTTACAGCAAAAACACTATTTTATTTTCTAAATCTAGACTAAAACAATTTTTCATATAATACATAAATAGTATATACATATCATCTTGTAGTATATACCTATTATAATCATATAA